GTACCCACATACACAATGAATCTATCCTCCTGCACCAGGAGTTCCTCAAGTGCAATGTCAATGTCTTATTCATCTTGATGTCCCCTGCATGCAATGCAATCATAAATAGCCAATAAATATTAACAAATGCTAATTCTGTGCAGGACAGGATTTTTATATCATCACAGACCATAAGTTTGTGTGAGGTACTTATATGGAAATCCTACAGTGGAATAAACATACTACATAAATTATATACTCCTTTCAATAGTAACCAAAGAAGCATTTTGCAAATCCATGAGCAAAAAGTATTATTTGGTATTAATAATGATACCTAGAGGAAAGAATAATTAAACTAAACCAATAATGTTTGTTGCTTTGGTAGAGTCCATAATATATGACTTGCTCATCTGAAGTCTTTTAATTGTCAAACTTCAGAATAAGTTGATTTTAAACTACAGAAATAAACATCAATGATAACAGAGTGAGCACTGTATTGGGCAGCTTGTAATGACTAATCTCACTGAGCACTGCAGTGGTCATGCCATAAGGAAGTCTACCTGCAGATACACCATCATCCCAGTACAGCTCTCCCTTTGCTTCTCTCTTGTAGTCCAAGGCAATAATGAGTCCCAGAGCATTCTTCCGACTGTAAAAGAGCAATTCTCAGTTTCAGAGAATGAAGAAGAGATAGAACTGTGTTAAATAAGCCCCCTTCGTGCCCCATAGACAGATAATTTTATTTTTATTTATTTTTTTAATTTTATAAATATTTTTATTTTTTAGTGTATTTTTTAGTTACTTATTATTATTATTATTATTATTAATATATTTTATTGATTTTTTTGCCCCCCACCCTCCCTCTCATACATACCCTCCCTCCCATTGGTTTATGTCCATTGGTTGTACTTATATGCATGTATACAAGTCTTTCGGTTGATCTATTATCTCCCCCAGATCTCCCTCCCCTTCCCTCCCCATTGTAATTTGACAGTCTGCTTGTTGCTTTACTGTCTCTATATCTATCTTTTGGTTCATCAGTTTATAATGTTCTTTATTATCCATAAATGAGTGAGGTCATGTGGTTTTTCTCTTTCAATGATTGGCTTATTTCACTCAGCATGAAGTTCTCCAATTCCATCCAGGTTGCTACAAATGATGAGAATCCCTTCTTTTTTATGGTAGCATAGTATTCCATTGTGTAGATATACCATTGTTTTTGGATCCAATCATCTGCTGACGGGCACCTAGGCTGTTTCCAAATTCTGGCTATTGTAGATTGTGCTGCTATGAACATAGGGGTGCATATATCCTTTCTGATTTGTGTTTCTAATTTCTTGGGATATATTCCTAGGAGTGGGATTACTGGGTCAAACGGGAGTTCCATTTTCAGTTTTTTGAGGAAACTCCACACTGTTCTCCACAGTGGTTGCACCAGTCTGCATTCCCACCAGCAGTGCACGAGGGTTCCTTTTTCTCCGCAACCTCGCCAACACTTGTCGTTTGTTGATTTGTTGATGTTGGCCATTCTGACAGGTGTGAGATGGTACCGCATTGTTGTTTTGATTTGCATCTCTTGGACAATTAGTGACTTTGAGCATGTTTTCATGTGCCTTCTGGCCTTCCTTCTGTCTTCTTTTGAAAATATTCTATTTAGGTCAATTGCCCATTTTTTAATTGGATCATTCATCTTCCTTTTATTTAGTTGTATAAGCTGTCTATAGATGTTGAAGATTAAACCTTTATCAGTGGTATTATTTGCAAATATGTTCTCCCACACCGTGGGCTTTCTTGTTGTTTTGTTGATGGTTTCTTTTGCTGTAAAAAAGCTTTTTATTTTGATGTAGTCCCATTTGTTTATTTTCTCTTTAGCTTCTGTTGCCCTAGGGGCAGTATCAGTGAAGAAGTTCTTTTGGCATATATCTGAGATTTTGCTGCCTGTGGATGCTTCTAGTATTTTTATGGTTTCCTGTCTGATGTTTAAGTCCTGTATCCATTTTGAGTTTATTTTTGTGTATGGTGTAAGTTGGTGATCTAGTTTCATTCTTTTGCATGTATCTGTCCAATTTTCCCAACACCATTTATTGAAGAAACTGTCTTGACTCCATTGTATATTCGTGCCTCCTTTGTCAAATATTAATTGAGCATAGTGATTTGGGTTGATATCTGGGTTCTCGATTCTATTCCATTGATCTATCTGTCTGTTCTTGTGCCAGTGCAGGCTGTTTTGAGAACAGTGGCTTTGTAATACAGTTTGAAGTCTGGTATTGAGATCCCTCCTACTTTACTCTTCTTTCTCAGGATTGCTGTGGCTATTCAGGGTCTTTTATTGTTCCAAATGAACTTTTGGAGAGTTCTTTCTAGGTCAGTGAAATATGCCGTTGGTATTTTAATGGGGAGTGCATTGAATCTATAGATTGCTTTAGGAAGTATGGACATTTTGATGATGTTGATTCTACCAATCCATGTACATGGTATGTTCTTCCATCTCTTTACATCTTCCTCTATCTCTTTTTTCAGTGTCATGTAGTTTTTTGCATGTAGGTCCTTTATTTCCTTAGTTAAATTTATTCCTAGGTATCTTAATTTTTTTGGTGCGATGGTAAATGGAATTGCTTTTTTAGTCTCTGTTTCTGTAGTTTCACTGTTGGTGTATAGAAATGCCATGGATTTCTTGGCGTTAATTTTGTATCCTGCTACATTGCCAAATTCATTTATTAAGTCAATTAGTTTTTTAATGGAGTCTTTTGTTTTTTTTATGTACAATATCATGTCATCTTCATAGACAGATAATTTTAGAGTTTATCCTAGAAAGTGAGTAGATCATGACCTTGAATGGAAACACAGAAGCTAGGTATGGTAGACAAAAGAGGTTAGTAGTGAATGAGCATGAGAAGAATAGTCAAAGGAGATGAAAACTGGGTTTGTGATAACACTAATAATTAGCACTAATCACTGCTTACCATGTGCCAGGAATTCTGCTAAGTGTTTCATGTACATTAAATTATTTATATTATTTCATTCAAACCTTAGAATGACTCTAAAAAGTCAAATTATTATTATCCCTAGTTTACAAATGATAAGCAGAAATAGAGAGCAAGTTGCCATAACAATACATCTGGTATATCATAGAACTGGGACTTGAACCCAAAATTTCTGGCTCTTGACCTTGAAGTTATTTTGACTTTGATCTCTTAACTGAATCTCCTTGAGGACAATTTTTTACCATAAAGAAAAGAACAAGTTCTTTACTTCATTATCTTATTCAATCATGAGTCAATTAGATCATTAACTATTCTTACAATTGGATTCAATCCAGAAGTAAAAGACTGTGGAAATGTAAAGGAACAGAGGCTTCATTTACCTCCTAAATGAAGACTAAGATGCCAATTTGGAGCAAATCTTGAAAGGAATGAAGAAAGATCACTGACTAAAGATGTCTTCCTTGGGTTTATCCACTTTTAGTCCCTCTATTTGCCTTTCCCATAATGCCCTGCCCCTTGGAGCATGAGAGCAGTTACACCTTAGAAAGTGAGGAGCTTACAGTTTACCTGGCCTCTGTGGTTGTGTTTGGCTGCTGGGTGGGAAATATGTGGCCTCCTCGAAGGTGGAGTCCTATCTTATCAGGGGGCAGCAGCATCTCCACCAATTGTTTCCTCCATTGGATGGCTATTCCCTACAACAAAAGAAAACAAATCAGATAATAGGCTGTTTCGGCTAGAAGGAATCTTGGACATCTTCTACTTTTGCTGCCTCATTTTAGATAAGAGGAAACCAGAGACCTCCCAAAAGGGAAGGTGACTTGTCCAAGGCATAAAGATAGTAAGTAGATAGCAAAGCTGAGACTCCAACCCACCTTATGTCATTGTATCGTGCCATGCTATGATTCCATAACCAGGCTTTAATTCTCTAGGTTATCACAGCCTAAATCCTGACAGCCACATAGTGGCCAGGTTGACATAATGAAAATTCCCATCAACCTACCCCGGTGATTCAAGTTGTTTCATGGTATATTGGGAAAGGCCTTCCACATGGGAAAGTACCACAACCAACTAAATGTAAAGCCTCATACTGTCATCCTACCTAAGCTCCCAACAATGCTGCTGCCTTAGAACTGTCTAACACTGCTAGAGGCAGGTCCCTGGGCCAAGAGGGGTCCCTCACTTACTGTCTCATAGTCGTACCAGATGGCATCTGGTATGTATGCTTTCACTCGGTCCGCATTCTAGGGAAACAACAATAATGAGCGACATTAGCATATCCTTTTACAGTTTGCACAACACCCCCACATGTGACTGCATGTGTTTCTCAAACAATCCTGAGAAATAGTTGGGATTCTGCCATTCTACCAGTGAAAATACAGATACTTAGAGAGGTCGGGCAATTTACCCAAAACAGAGCTGTACCAGAGATAAAGTTGGTTTTGCTTGAAGTTCCTGAACTTTCTAAGAGAAGCTGAGAAAGTTCATTTATTGAGTTACTTGTGTAATCTGGAAGGTGGGAAATTTAAACAGTCAGGCACCCTGGAGAGCCTTCTAGCAGCATCACTGTAGCAGGACATACGAGTACATTGGTGATCTTTTAGCCTTTTATACGAGTACATTGGTGATCTTCCATGTTTACAAACTGGCCAGCATAATCCTGGTCCCCCCTTTCTTTCCCTGCACTTCCCCAATCACTGCTGCCCCAAATCACACTTCATATGTGGACTCCACAGTAACAACCTCCCCTTGCCCAGCATTCCTCTCTTCCTCCCTACTCCTCTTTCCACCTCTTCTTTCTAACCCCAAGAGCACATCCCCTCTGGTCAAAGGGAAACACAGACAGATGGCCAGCCCCAGGCATTTGATGTCCCTGTCAATGTCCATATGCTTAAGGACACAGGCTTTGATGTAAGCTTGCCAAATGGGAACTGTTTTTGCTTGGTGAGGCAGTGGGACCAAGAATTACTATTTTTCTAATTTCCAAATTTTCCCAGTCTCTCATTTATATTCATATTTATATTTAAACGGAGCCAAACATATTCAGCCTCTGACTTATTCAGCTATAGAGATATGAGGACTAGTGTTGATATCCCACCCCTCTGCTTAGATTATAAACACACTTCACGTAACACAGGCGTGATGAGGAGTCCAGGTCCCCATAAGAACTGCTCGTGCACCTCCCACGTAGCACTGTCCTGGTAGAATCTGGAAAATAGAGAAGGCAGGTGAAGCCTCCAACATAGGAGAGCAGCTCATTATATGAAAACAAGGTCCTAACTTGTTACTACTAACAAGGGAAGTGACCAAGTGACCTTATGATCTGAAAGATCGTCTTTGCGGGTAAGGAAACTCACTCATGGACCAGGGGCCTCGCTACAGTCTCCCCCAGGGTATGAGCTCGGTAGAAGAGGGTGTAGAGATAGGGCAACAGGGTATAGCGGATGTTCAGATAATGCCTGGAGGAACTCAACAGCTGAGAGTCTTCACCAAAGGCAGCAGGGTCCTGGTCCTAGAAGGAAACATAAGTGATTACTAACCATTTTCATCATAGTTTAAAAGTCCCCTTTAATACGAAGTTTTCTCAAATGAAAATAGCTATGTTCTCCAACTTGAATATGTGAAAGCATTTCCAGAACTGAAAGAATCTGGGACCTACCTGCTCCTTGATTTTATAGAAGAGAAAACCATATAAAAAATGCGGTGTAAAATTGCAAGCAAGTGACAGAGTTTAAATTTGACACATGTCTTCTGACATTGATTCATGACTTCCTCAAGATAATAAACCTACAGAGATAGCCCTCAGAGCTGCTCTAATTCATTTCATACTTTGACATTTCTCATGATACTTCATTTGGCAAATACCGTAATAATAATAAAATCATACTACCACTAAAAAGAACTTCAAGCCGAAACTGGTTTGACTCAGTGGATAGTGTCCGTCTGTGGATTGAAGGGTCCCAGGTTCGATTCTGGTCAAGGACATGTACATTGTTTTGTGGGCACATCCCCAATAGGGGGTTATGCAGGAGGCAGCTGATCGATGTTTCTCTCTCATTGATGTTTCTAACTCTCTATCCCTCTCCCTTCCTCTCTGTAAAAAAAAAACAATAAAATATATTATTAAAAAAAAAAAAAAGAATTTTTTTTTTTTTTTTTTTTTTTTAGCTCGTGGGCTCAGTGCTTGAGGGACAACCCAGGATCAAGAAGTTACCAGTTCGATTCCCGGTCAGGGCAAGTACCTGGGTTGAGGGCTTGATCCCCAATAGGGAGTGTGCAGGAGGCAACTGATCAATGATTCTCTTTCATCATTGATGTCTCTATCTCTCCCTCTCACTTCATCTCTGAAATCAATAAAAATATTTTTAATTGAAATCCAGTGCCTTAAACCACCATGACCTATAATCCATCTTTTTTTCTTATGCACTTTTATAAATTTGCAATTTTAAAATGCATATATAGTTTTATTTATAATGTTTTCAGCATCAAAATGTGTTTTATTCTTCAATACACAAAGTACAAAGAAATCAGGAAGACAGTTTTTAGCAGGTTTTATCTAAGAGCAAAGAAAGAACACTTTATGAGGGAAATCTAATTCTCTTAGGACCCAGAAACAAATTTTCCATCAATGATGAACACGCATTTTGTTTATTGTTCATTTACCTTGTTCTTTGAAAGATGTGCATATCATATTTTAACTTGTCATCCTGTATAGTATTACTGGAACTGAATTCTAGAAAAAATTATCTAAATTTATTCCTTTCTTCTGTTCCCCAAATTGCCTATTTCCCCCTTCCAAATAGAACCACTCTATACCACCATTAATGAAAGGGCAGTTGGAGGCCATGAGGCTGGCTGGGGAGGACAGTTGGGGGCAAGAAGGTTGACAGGCAGAGTGGTTAGGGGTGATCGGGCAGGCAGGCAGGTGAGTGGTTAGGAGCCAGCAGTCCCAGATTGCAAGAGGGATGTCTGGCAGGGATTGGGCCTAAACCAGCAGTTGGACATCCCCCGAGGGGTCCCAGATTGGACAAAGTGCAGGCTGGGCTGAGGAACCCCCCACCCCCTATACAAATTTTATGCACTGGGCCACTAGTATGTGTATGTGTGTTTGTATAAATATATTATTTTTTTCCACACACACACACACACACACACACACACACACACATCATCATCACCCCCCTACTTTTTAGTCAATCACTGAAAATTTGTCTATTGTGCTCCTGCACTTAGAGCCAACCTGGAAGTATTTTCTTATTTCCTCTTTGAGAACAGGTAGATTAGATAACCCAAGAAGTTTCCATGACTTCTCTTAGGGACCTTACCCTGAACTCAGGCCCATTGTGATTCCTGGATAGTGGATAAAATGCTCCAAGCTGCATCCATCTTCTGCAGAGCTCCTCTGTGGTATCATTGGTATAACCACAGATATTGGCACCGACCTGGAGAATAGGCATACATACAGCTCAGTGGTCAGTGAGAGAGGAGAAAGCATTGACTGTATACCTATGTGATAAGGGAAATAAGAATCTCTCATTCCCATCACTCCATGCTTAAAGAGGTCCTGAGCTTTCATGGCAATCCCCCATCCAAGTTGGAGAATAAGGAAAGTATGCAATCATGGACTGACTGATGAGAAAAATACTGACTGTTGCATGTTTTATTAAGGGCTCACTCTCAATATTTAGTTCCCAATTTCATGCTTTGCTATCATTGATGCTTTTGATGGAATTTTTATGTGATACTGATACATTTTACTCATGGAGTCTCCTTTCTAACTTCAGAGAATCCATTGATGCCAATTATAAAGTGTTACCACCCTATCATCAGAAGGCAGCTCACACAACACATGATTTTTCCAATACATATCAAAGTGAGTCATATGCTCATTCGTTTTCAGACCCCTCAAAGTTTGGTAATGGAATGGAAAGAATGTCAAAGCTCCTTGATTGAGAGTGAAACTCACCATGGGGATGCCAAATAGGTTGAACTCAAGGATACTAGGGATGGACCATTGGAGATCATTCCATGTAGCTGCATTGTCCCCCAACCAATGAGCTGCAAACTTGCCAGACCCAGCAAAAGTAGAACGGGATAAGATGAAGTTCCTCTTATTGGGGAAGACAGTATTCAAGGCCCTGAAAAGGAATACAGTCAACTGAATGTGAAATTAACTGTGAATGTCAAGGATTTAACCTATACCAAAGGCAGCAATGGACTTTCCAAGCAAACTGAGAGAAAAACATTAGTGTATCATGAAAGAGAGCAAACTGGATTAGTGTTTTTGAGAGCTTCTTTCTTACTGCTAGGTAAGGTTGCAAACCTCATGTAAGACAATAAAAACCTCTAAGTCAGTACCCTCAAGGAATTACTCTAGGCTCCTGGACTCCTGATTATGTTTCCTCCATCTTCTATCTGGTTGTGCTCTGGCCCTTTTGGTTGATGATGATAAATTGGAATGAGGGGCTATTGGCACTATCTTCTTCCTCTAGAAAAATTTTTCCAGTGTACCTGGGTTCCATGCCTCGCTGTTATTCATAATCTTGTTTAGCACAACACCAGCTCAGGTCAGAACTCTTTACCTGCTCTTTGCCTAAGAGGAGATTTTGTATACAGTCTGGGCTCCAGGAACCTGGGTTCCTCTAAAGCTTCAGAGTTTATTATTAGCAATCCCCAGTGTTAAAATATCTTAATCTATGCAAGCTAGTATCGAAATGGAATCTTTGGACTGGAACCTGGATTCTTTGTCCACCAGAATCAAAGAATGAATGCACAGACAGAAAGTGGTATAGCAAAGGTGGAGATTTCTTGAAGAACAAGTACAGACTCCCACATGGAGAGAGGGAAACAGTCCTACAGAATGGACTCCCAGGTAGGGAGGGGAAAAGGGTTCCCACTGAGTTATTTTTCCCTAAGGCTTATAAAGGCTACAGATGCCTTGATATCCCCTCTGATTGGTCACTATTCCCTTAGACTGGTCACTATAGTAACTCCTGGGCTCAAATGTCAAACTTCACAGGACATGTGAGGTTCTCCTCCCCTCCTTCCTTATTGTTTTCCTATTCCCTTTGGGCTTTCTTCTTCTCCTCTGGATGAAGGTCTTTCTTCTCTTTGTTTTGTAAATATAAATCTTTTGCTGTTTCCAGCTTCCTCATTCTATGGAAATGTACCTATTTCAGTTGGAAGTTGCAGCTCCTCAACTTCCCCTATTCCAGTGGTCAGCAAACTGCAGCTAACAAGCCACATGCAGCTCTTCCACAAAATACCACGTGTGGGCGCACACGTACAGTACAATTGAAACTTCGTGGCCCATTTGCAGAAGCCGGTTTTCGACTCTCAAAAGAAATTTCAATCGTTTACTGTTGATATTTGGCTCTGTTGACTAATGAGTTTGCCAACCACTGCCCTATTCTATGGAAATATACCTTCTGCTGCTCTGCAGCCCTGTGCTTCCTCCATGGTCCCCTTAATTTCCAAAATTTCTAAAATTGCCTAAACCTATTTTACCCCTTAGATTCCTGTTTTACCCCTTAAATTCCTGTTTCAGTATTACTTGAAGTAAGTCTCAAAAGATGGCATATGGCACTCTTAATGAAGTTAAAAGTAACTAAAATGTAAATATTTTCATTGTATTACTTATAAAATATTATATATCAAGTAAAAACTATATAAAAAGTAAAACAAAAAAATTAAAGATAAAAAATTGAGACCGGAAGTGGGAATCTGGATGGGATAACATGAAGTAAGATATAGGCTGTTTTCCTAGCTTTTATTCAGAACACTATTTTGCTTAGGACTCTCCCTGTTCTCTCCTCTCCTAAACAGTTCACACTTACCTTTAGAGTTTTAAAAATTGCACAATAATACAACTATTGGATGGTGATACCTGAGCCATAGTTGCTTCTACCTCTTTGCAGGCAAACTCTACTATCTTTCTTTACAATACATGGCCTGAGACCAGTGTACCAGACACTGGGCAATTCCTCATAGGCACTATCACAACCACTAATGCTTTTCCTCTTTGCATTCCTAAGGATGTTATGAGGAGTGTACACATGCAGAACAACTTATAATGAAAAAAGAAAGAAAATTCTGAAATAGAATACTAGTTTAAGAAAATGAAGTTCCCCATTCTGACAATTAAATGATCCAAAAATGGGGGTAGAATGGAATGGAGTCACTTTCCCACTCCTGTCCTCATTTCTCCTTTTATAAGGACTGGCAATATTTGGTGTTTGTTACCATTGGCTAGAGGGTTTCCTGCATCCTGCAATCCTCAGTCATTAAAGAAACACATTCAAGTTATGTAAAGTGAAATTGAAACAGGAAATGAAGTTAAATGAATTTAGTGTTCATTTAGAGTCAGCCCATTATAGTACCACAAATATGATTAGGTAACATTTTTTTTCCAGCTTAGAGGAAATATTTACCCAGAGATCCCTAAGTCTCTATTTTGCATCTCTCAGTTTGGGCCTACTTATGGTCAGGTCTTGATATCTGAGAGGTTCTGGTTTCTTCCTACTTTCAGGCCAGAGGAAAGTGAACTTTATTCTCTTGGTAGACCAGTAACTACTGTCCCCAAACTATACTTCGGTAGAGGCCGAAAGAAATAATATAGAAAAATTCCCCTGCTAGCCCAGACTTCCCGTAAGAATGTGACCTTTAGAACTGCCCCAGGAAAAACAAGGTATGAGCCACACAGCACCAGACCACCAGACTCAGCCCCTAGAGGTAGTAAACTGGATGTATTATCAACGTCCTGCGGCGGTTCCACCCTGTTCCTTGTGATAATGTCTATCCTCCCCTCAAGGAATTCCTGTCCCTCTTTCTGGAAGAGCCCCTCCCCTTGTCCTTTGTTCTAACTTTGCAGTTTTTTTGCCTTTATAAGCCTGTAAGAAGTTCTGCTCGGGACTTGACTTGGCTGCTCCTGCATGAGTAACAGGTCAGGTCCCAGCATGCTGGAATAAATCCTCTTGCTGTTTGCATCAAGTGCCGTCTCTTGCGTTTGACTGGGTTGTCACTGATCCTGGGTCAGGGCAGGGGTCTCCTTCGGGGGGTCCAACACTTCCAGCAAAGATTAAGCTAAACGTTCATCAGATCCATGATTTAAATTCTCCTGATGCCCAGATCCAACTGAATGAGAATCTTACCTGATTTTTAACCAACTCTGTCTGATGCCTGAAAGCTAAATTGCACTTATCTCCATTGTTCTCTGGGAACTTTGACCTTTTAACTATTAACCATTATTGACATAGCTTCAGAACATATTAACCAATCTCAATGTGATTTTATAGTACTTTTATCATATGGAGATTTGAACAATGAAGCAATTTGAAACTCTCTTTCCTTCCTCTTGCCTTTCCTTACTTTCTCTTTCTTGCCCTGCTTGCCCTGTCCATTTATCCACTCTCCCCATACCTTCAACTCCTAGAAGCATCGTGAGTCAAAATAGATCAGAGCAAGAAGGGATATGGTGTTACAGAAAACCAAAGAAGAACAAAGCAATACTTAGAGAGATGGAATTATATTTATTATGGTGCGGGTCCAGAGGAAAATGTATCTCAAATTCTGGGCCCCAATATGCAGGAATTCTCCCTATTTATATGATCCTACACTCTTTGTCTCCCAAATATGGAGTGTTTCCAGCCCCCTCTTGCAAGTTCTTAAGTATGTACTGGGGCCCTGAGACCTCAACCAGGGGCCTGGCCTGGCACCAGCACTGATGGTCTTGTCTGGGGGAGGTTAAATCCACAGAAGCCAAATAGCAGGGTTAAAATTTCAAACAGCAATTTTCATACAAGATGGATGCTACAATGGGAAACACCAGTCCAAGATTTTCATTTTAAAGATGAGGAAACTGTCTTTGAGGAGGAAACTGGTCTTGCAGAACTTATTATCTAAATGCAGAGGCCATAGAACTGTGAAGAATGCACTGCCCTGGGGATTGTTATGCTAGTGCCAGGACTGACTATAGGATGTGCCCTGACACCTGGGGGCCTTCCTGCAGGGCCACAAAGAAGGTAGGGGGCATATCTGCAAGACAAAGACCCCAGCAAGATACACACACACACACACACACACACACACACACACACACACACAGGCTCTCTGCATATTTCTTCATTCCGATTTGGAAATTATTCCTGGAGTCCACTAGTGTTAATAAATGGGGTCCCTTCCTTTCTCTATGAAGCATGCTTAGTGTTTCTTTGGTCTTCAGTAACATCTTATTCATCTAGTTTACTTCCCAGAAAGGTTGAGTGACAGAGAAAAAAGTCAGAAAAGGGTAGATAATGAAATCAAATGTGTATCCCCCCCCCCCTTTTTTTTTGAAGTTTTTCATTTATTGAAATAAAAACTTTTGCAGTTAGTGGATAAGGACTCTCTCATAGACAATCCAGAATAATATTAAGTCATGAAGACAAAATGGTGTGGGAAAACAACATAGGTCCAGTTTGTGCCTCTAATTCATCAGGTCCCTTTTGGGCTCATCCTGCCATTCTTCTCTTTCTCAAGCCAGCTATTTACTCAACAGCCATGCCTTTAGTATACACATGATTCCACAGGCTGAGGAAATATGGGGTGACTATGCTCTCAAGAAATTGATAGTCCAGCAAGACAAAAAGTAAATACCTAAAAACTGTAATACAAGGTGCTTGTATATTAGGCATAGTACAATATGAACAAAGGTAACACAAAATGTGGGGTGGGTGTAGGGGTAATCTTTTCCTAGGACTGTTAGGAAGGTTTAACATCTGAGGGGAGGTTTTAAAGGTAAGTGTATATTTGAAAAATGGACAGGGCAGGGAAAGGGCATTCCATGCAAGGAGAGCAATACATTCTAAGACATGGGAGAATGAAATAGCATTTGGATTTGGGAGCAAGGGCAGTTATGTTTTTACAAGAGCATAAAATATAAGAGTAGCAGGGATGAAAGGAAAATACTAAGAAATAATTAAGTTATGAAGTACTTTACAGGTTAGGCTGGAGTGACTGGACTTGATTGTATAGAAGATACAAAGCCAAAGATAATTTTTCACTTGGGAAAGAAGTGAGCAGATTTTCACCAGGGAAAGAAAAGAGCAGATGTGTGATTCAGGAGGTAATTTCATCAGTAGTAGAGTAGATTTTTTGAACATTTAGCATACATTCAATACCCCTGGGAACCTTGTTAAAACTAATATTATCATTTCCAAGGTGTAGGGTGAGGGCCAAGGTGCTACATTTCTAATATGTTTCCAGATGATGCTAATATTGCTAGTCCTTGGACCACACTTTGAATAGCAAGAGTAGGGATAGATGAATAGGAAATAAAGCTACAGTCAGGGAAGGGAGACTAGTATTCATGGGACTCATGTAAGTTTACTTGAACAATAATGATGGCCTTCATTAAAAAGTGTCAGTGGAGGAAAAAAGGAGATGATTATAGACATGTTTTAGGATCAAAAGTTCTAAAGCCTGATTGTAGAAGTGGATATGATGGAAAGAAATAACTTGAGGATGGTACCAAGTTTCTCACTTGGGAGTCTGGGAGGTAGTGATGGTGTTGCTACAAACCAAGATAGGAAATTGAGCAGTTTCAAAAATGATTAGACTGTGGGGCTAAGGCATAAATAGGTAACAGTAAGGTGAATGCCATTGGAGGTACTATAAGACATCCAAGGAGAGAAGATCAGAAGGTAATGTTGGATATCTGGGCCTGAAAATCAGGGAGAGATCTAAGCTACAGATTTATAAAATTATAAATTTTAAAATTATTAAAATAAATTACAGTAAAAACTGAGAAGGAATAAGTTATCTTTGTACTTGACAGAAAATAAAAAATGAAGTCTAGAAGTTGACCCCTAAGATTTATCAATCGTGAGAGAATACATGAAAAAGATCCAGAGGTCAAGAAGGAACAGAGGTTAAGAAGGGACAGCTGGAAAAAGAGCAGGTGTGCCCAGAGAGAGTGGTGTCTCAGAACTAAAGGAACCAAACTTCAAAGGAGTTGTCAGTGATGTAATGTACACTAGAGAAGTCAAATAAAAGGAATGAGAAAAGTTCCATTAGAAATCAAAGTCTCCCTGCTCCTATACCCACTATGGTGTTCCAGAAATACCAAAGCAAAAGGATATAAGCAGAGAAAAACTAAGACATTCTTTCCTGAGCCATTTGAAGGTCCCCAACAAATCTTCAAAGACTTTAGTTTCCTTGTCTGTTTTATAAATTTAAATTTAAATCTTCTTAAGTTTAGTCCCTAATTTCTTGCTCTCTTAGGTATAATGATTATAATTTATCACCTTGGTGTGGGGACGGGGAGATTTTGCAGAGAGCTTTTCCTCAATTTACAAAGTCAGCAGTGAAATATTAATGTGACAAAGTATGTAAAGGACTGAATTTGTTGCAGAAAGTATCTGTCTCTTTGTTAGACTTTCATATTGAGTGGTGGTGGTGGTGGTGGTAGTGGTGGTGGTGATGTAGATGGTGGTGATGATGGTGGTAATGGTAGTAATCATGGTGATAGTGGTGCAGGGTATGTCTTGGGGCAGAAGAGAGAGTTGAGAAGGTGACTGGGGAAGACAGTAGAGAAGAATGCCAGGAGGGAGTGCTATAATGTTGCCATGTAAATACAGAACACTCAATAAACTTGAATTACATATAAACAATGAATAATTTTTAGTATACATATGTATATTGCAAACTTGACTGTGTGTCCTGTATTTTTATTTGCTAAATCAGGCAGTTCTTGTGTGGTGACCATAGCACATTCAGTAATGGGACCCAAGCAAGAGCTGGCTTCCAATTGGGGGTTCTAAATACCTTGTACATTATTGCTTATAGTATCAAGTCCTTAGTCACAAGCCAATAAGCAATAATCCTGCACAAAAGCGAAGGAATTAGACCTTTTAAGTAGCCTATAAGATCTGAGTATCTAGATCCACATAACCAAAAAATTATATTTTAAAAACATACCCTTAGATGACAAGAGAAACCCTCTATCTCCCAGCTCCCCAAATCTCAAAGTAGGAGGAAAACCTAGTGCTTACGAGTCTGTGGCTCTTGCCATGGAGTAGCCATACAAGCTGTGGACATTATAGTGAAGCTCCTGGTAAACCTCAGCGTCCATGCAGAGGGTTCTTGCAAAAAGCAAGCTGCCCAGAACTCCTGTGGGGAAATATCCATTGGTGAGCCACTTTCATGTCAACAAACTCTAACAAAATAATCACTTAATCTAATTGCTTCCAGGTTCCTGTACCTTCTCCACCAATCTCTACCTAACAAAACTCTTTTCAGATTTAAAATCCTAACCCAATGTCTCTTCCTAACTGGGACATATTCTAAGCCCCTCACTGAGATAAATCATTAAAATTAATTTGCATTCTCTTGAGCTCACAAAGAGTGGTACTAAGTGATGGCAACATAAAAAAAACAAAAACAAAAAAAACTTGGAGCAATGAGAAGTTTATCTGAGACAAAATATAAATAAAGTACACACACATAACTACAGATATTTAATCAATAAGAATTGAATGTATGAAGAAAAATAGGAGGGCAGTGAAAAGGGAACATATTCACTCTAAAATCATAAGCATTCACACCTTAGTTATACTTTTTAAAAGATGAGATATTTGGGTGGTTTCATGAATGAGAACTTAGATCCTGCCTTTATAAAAATCAGCATAGTCATTGTATTTTCCCTTTCTTATGCCTAAAATGGTCAACACTTTCTGTCTTGTGGCCTGAAATCTCATTCTTCCCCTTCTCCTTATAGACCAGTACCAGGGGGTCATACTTCCTCTCCTACTTCATGAAGCCTTGCCTATTCATAGGATATGAGGCACAATTTCAGAAAGTGGTAGGGCCAGGAAAGACTGAGGTTGAGTTTTTCTAACAAGCCCAGCAGAATCAGGGATTGAAATTATGTTTAATTATAAAATATAAAGACAATTATATTTCTGGCATGACTCAGTTTGTGGCCTGAGATTTACAACTAGTTTAATTATTCATGCACATTGAAAGGAAATAAATTAGAAAAAATATTTTAATATCATTATGTGCCCTTTCTCTATTATAGTAGTGTCAACCAATTTATGATCAACAGTGACAGATCAAAACACACATGTGTACAATTGACGCCAGCAAGAGTCAATTTAGCCTTTTATAGAGAGAGAATAAACTTACTTATTTAGGCCTGCTTTCTGATTTAGCTAAACTTTTCCCAAACCAGTGAAGCACCCCAACTTCTCTTTCAGGTAATTGTGAGCAACACAGCAGTAAATATCAACATGAAGCAGATTATTATTGTAGATCATGCAGGGAGAACAAATTTTGTGCATTGGGCCTCTAGTAAGATTATATTTCATATTTTCTCTTAAAAGTTTAGTAAAGACTATGAGATGGGATTCTGTAAACAAATTGAACACAGCCCACTTCCAGTCTTGCCCATAAATTTCCTCTACCCTTCTATTTCTCTTTCACCTAGGAAGCTGGAAACAAAGGGCTCCAAGATAGGAGAACCAGGCAATGGAAATAATTTGATTCTGGTCAAGGGCATGTACCTTGGTTGCAGGCACCTACCCAGAAGGGAGTATGCAGGAGGAAGCTGATCTATGTTTCTAACTCTCCATCTCTCTCTCTTCCTCTCTATAAAAAAATCAATAAAATATATTTTAAAAAATAATAATAATCCTATAAAATAAAAGGTTATTATGCAAAACGACTGAATGGTAGAATGACTGGTCGCTATGATGCGCATTGACCACCAGAGGGCAGGCGCTCAATGCAGGAGCTGCCCCCTGGTGGTCAGTGCACTCCCACAGGGGCAGCACAGCTCAGTCAAAGGCCAGGCTCATGGCTGGCGAGCACAGCAGCAGAAGCCCACCTCTGCGGCAGCGCTAACAAGCAATGAGCCATGGCAAGGAGCAAGGAGTCCTGGTCTGCGAGAGGGTGCAGGCTGAGGAACCCCTTTCCCCCAGTGCATGGATTTCATGCATGGGGCCTCTACTAAGATAATAAAAACAGACAAAACAAAACAAAAGAACCTTTGGAAAGTGAACTTGCTTTTGGCTACAGGTTGTTTTAAATGTCTCCTGCCTACATTATTACAAACAGGTAAAAACTTACGGGGAGTGAAAGGAGGATAGTTCCAGATATTCTTTTCACACTCATCAGAATCTGAGAGCAAGTTAGATACTTCCTCCATTTCCTTCAGAGACATGAAATACACAAAGTGGAAAAAATTATTGATATACAGTTAGTTGTTAAAGAATGTTTACTAAACTAGAAGCTGGATAGCTGAGGTCTCTTATTGATTTTGGAATCTTAAGTAATCTTAAAATTTCTGACCTCGGTTTTATCCTTTGGATTATAATAGATTGTATCTACAGTACCTTCCAACTCTAAATTATATCAGATCCATTTAACCTTTTATACTTTATTTCAATTAGTTAATTAAGAAATACTATTTCAAAGGCTAATTCATGCTTTATGAGATTTTATTGTTGCTAGTATTGTTTTAAAGAATTTAAGATAGAGTAATATTCTATTTCATAATTTTCCCATTCTGTTGTTCTACTTAGTGCAGGGCATAAGAATATAGAATTGAGATAAAATCCATTTATTTAAAAGAGCTTGCAAATAGATGATGTGTAATCTTGCCAACAAAAAGATAATTTTTCAAATTTCAAATAAATTTTTCACCTGTTATCCTCTAAAAAATAAGAGGACCATTAAATTATTCTTTAATTATTTACTTTAAATTTCAATAAATCATTGCTACAAATAATAGCACCTATAGTTTCTAATAAAATAATATTTTTAAAGCTAAAAGACAGTTAATGAAGGAAAAAGCGGAGTCCATGAGAAAGCAAAAGATTTTCTTAAAAATAAGTAACCAGTAGGTAGCAGATTGAGAATTAAAATTCAGGGGGTTGAGTCATCTATTTTATTATATGTTATAAGCTCAAACATTAAGTAAAGGGATTTTAAATATCACTATGTCAAGTAAACCATTTTTTTTTTTTAGAGATTAGAGTTAAAATTCATCTTAAAATTAGAAATATCTGTCTCCAAAATACGTTTGATCCTGGAATAACACTTACAAGCCACACTCCATCAAACTCCAAAGTTTTATGAAATTCATGAAGCTCTTCTGTCCACCATTGAGTACAACTTGGCTTATCATAAGCAGGAAAGACTACCTTTCCAGGATATCCCTAAAAAACAAGGAAAGTTGTGGTGGTTTGTCTGATGATTCATGCATGCATTTATTGCTGGCTACTATCTCTTCTCCCAGAAGGCCCAAATTTTACAATTAAAATTTGTGGCTGTCCTCCTAAAACTAAATGTTAAAATAGATGAAAGGAACCAAAGGGAGAAAAAAGAAAAGGAAAAACAACTTATTATAGAGATGAGAAGCCAGCAAATGTCTCTTTTCTCTTATTAAAAAAAAAAAAAGAAGAAGAAGAAGAAGAAGTAAAATTTCATATGTCAGGCCAATTGACATGTTTAAAATATGTAAAGCTTAACTAGATGATATTTTAGAAGAGAATGAATTTGTTTAATGTGCTGTTAATTGAAGATCATCTAAAACCTGACTTGAATAATGCCATTTATAGATAATATGTTGGGTTGGGCATAGAAACATTTTTGTTGAAATGGTTTAATGAATTTTGTGCTTCTTACTCAGGTCAAATATATCTTATTCTATCTTCTCTTCTTATCTATCCCTATTAAAGATTCATTTTTAACATTGTCCACAAATAACACAAAGATATAATCATAGCCAAATTAGTGAAAATTCTAAATTGACAAGACACAAGACACATACATTCTTGCTTATTTTCCCAACAAATTTCTAGGTTGTCATTTAGAAACAACTTTATGCTCAGTCAGTGTAATGAATAGCTTAGCTGTATCTGGGTTTTTTGTTTTAGGTGATGGGTCACTGTATAATAATAAGAAGAAGAAACTTTGAACCTCAAGGAAAAGGTGGTATGACAAAGGAATATGTGACACTGTCCCTAGAGCAAGCCCAGGAGCATTCATTCTAACCAAATTCCTTTACAATTAACTCCAGCACAACTACATCTGCCAACATCTTAGATCAAATGATTTCTGTTATTTATTAGTCAATGGAGGTAAGTAATTAAGTTTTTGTGGTTATATGCAAATTCCTAATTACATACCACTCAAATATGAGTACTATTGAAATAACTCATAAGTCTGATAATCTACTTATCTGGTAAACAAAACAATTTTTATGTGACCACGGCCTCTGATTTTGTACTTATATATGAATATCAGTCTATCTGATATTTTAGAAATTCACATCAAACAAAACAGTAAAAGTAACGAATTGGTTTGGAGAAGGAAGGAAACTACTATTTCATGAAAAGTTAGAATCAATGAAAAAGAAAGCAAATAGTAAGAACTATCATAAGCAAAGTCAATAATGGGAAGTAAGTGAGAAGTTAGGTAAGTGTTCATTGATAATCCTAAAAAGACAAGTTTTGCAAAATTAATTTCCTGGGAGCAACAAGAAATGAGGCCACGTGAACTTTTAGATGAAGTGCCAGTTTTAGTAAATCTCCCATCATCCAATCATCTGCGGCTGACCCCACACATAATTGGGAAAGAAAGCTGACTACAAGATTTGATTTAAAATATTCTCAAAAGCTCAGGTGACCTGAAAATAGGTTCCAAAGTAGCTTATTCAAATGCCTAAAATTGCTACCTTAGAATAAGGCTGGGGTCTATCTATAAGTCTCATGTAAATTAAAAACATATTAGCTGAGGTTGGTTTCACATTAGGCTATGAGCATCTTGCTCCATTACCATAGTTGAATTTATTGTCTGGGGGGAAAAATAGAAATTGGAAGGCAGAAGAACTTTAAGAATAAATTAACTTTCTTCTAATAATATATTGTTTTTCAACTATCTGTATTATTCTAAGGTTAGGGTTAGCTTTTTAGAGTCTAAATCTTAATTATTCCACCACACACACAAAAAAATGAAAATATGTAATATGATAGAGGTGCCATCACTACAATGGCAATCATATTGAATAACCAAATTATCAGATCAATATGCTATACACCTTAAATTTATACAATGTTATATGTCAAATATATTTCAACTAAAAAACAAATTCTTAAAAATTTTAATCATTCTACTATGACATTTACTGTTTTAAAAATAATAGCAGAAACCTCTAATGCCAAGAAAACAGTAATAATACTGTAAATTGCCTTCTATTCATTGTTGTACCAAAAGCACAAACTTCCCCCAAATGACTGTAATATACTCGGATTTATTTTTAGAAATTACCTCTCCAATGACAAAGCCTTTATTCCCCATGATCCACGCTCTCTTTTTGCTTCCATTCTTATAGGGCTGGTAGTCAGTATTATTTAAGATGCCAGGATTCTAGTAAATATATATGAAAACAAATATTATTTTTATAAATGTCTTTTGCATTTTTAAAGGGAATACTAGGCCATGGAATAAGTGTTTGAGCATACCATAATAATTACATATTTCTGTCCATGTTCGTGTAAGTCCTTGGCAAAATCTGAGAGACGAGGGAAAGCCTTTTCATCGATAGTAAAGTCCTTTTTTCCATCCATGTAGTCTATGTCAGAGTACTGGACATCCTGGAAGACAGGGCTGGCCAATTAGACCTGAGGCAATATCACCATGCTGATAACTCTGATTCTTCATCATTAAAACTGAAGCCATTTTTCTTTTTCTTTTTTTAATATATTTTTATTGATTTCAGAGAAGAAGGGAGAGGGAGAGAGAGAGAGAGAGAAACACCAATGATGAGAGAGAATCATTTATTGGCTGCCTCCTGCATGCCCCCTATGGGGGATGAAGCCTTCAACCCAGGGCATGTGCCCTGGATTGGAATCAAACCTGGGACCCTTTAGTCCACAGGCCAATGCTCTATCCATTGAGTCCAATACTAGCTAGGGCAAGCCATATTTCTTAATGATTCTGGAATTTCCAGGACTTTATTTACTTCCTAGGAGTAAATAAACCCTTTTTTTTGAAAGATTCGAACACTCTTAGGTTTTAGTTTTATCTCTTTGCCTTGATAGACGCCTGCCATAACATATTGAGAGGAACTTGAAAATAAGGACTGTGTCTTGTTCATCCCTGTAATTTGAGAACTTAGATGCTTGAAATAAAACAGGTGCTCTTTAAATATTTGTTTGAATGAACCCATGAGTATTGTTATTACCATGTACTAACCTGGACCCTAGACATCAAGTAAGGCATATCACAAGAGAAGAAAAATAGCCTGCTTGTCTTATAAAACATGTAGGGTAATAATTAACAAAGATAAATGACAAAGGGACAGAGCTTTAATTAACCAAATTCTCATACACACATTATTTTTGTGTTTGCATACCAACCTATGAGGAGCAGATTTTTAGCGGAAGATTGAAATGTATAAGGGCTAAGTGACATTTCCCAAGGTCAGATGCAGGAGTAGGTGGGGGATTAATTAGGGCTTTCTTGATAGACCCTTTGACTCCATATGCTTTTTTGTTCCAATTGCCACATACTTCAAAGAGATCTGAAGGTCTTCTAAGCAATTGTTTATTCTGTGGTTGGTGGTCCGGTCATGTGTCAGAGGCTGTAACTTACAAGGGAAGGGAAATGTGGCTGTGGCCTGTAACCAATGCAGCACCAGCTGTTCTAACACCGGACAGTCATGTAGGACCCAGGTGATCTCCAGAGTTGCCTGATGGGAAAGATCTAATCCATGGAAGAAAGCTCATTTGTTTCTGAACCAGTAAGACCTCAAAAGGCTCTTCCCTTCAAAGGCCTGGGGGGAGATTGAAACCAATACCACGTGGAGCCAAAAGAACCACTTTTGAATCCTGGGCCTGTCATTGTGCTAGCTCGAGTGACCTCAGGAAAGTGATTGACATTGCAATGTCTGCATTTCCTCATTTGCAAAATACCAATTAAGGGAGGATCAACCATGAATGTGAAAGCATTTGTAAAATAATGATGTGGCAAGATTTGGCCTGATTCCTCCTGGAATTGGGTGTTTGCAGATAGCAGATATGGGAGAAGTAAAATCAAATACATAACCATTTCCCCTTAACAACAAAACCACACAATGAGCAGGTTTTCTCACAAGAAAAATTCATCTCATGGCCTGCCCTTATTGCTACTCTGAGAGGAGACTGAAAACTTCTGAGATCAGGCCAAAGTCATTTCCATCCATAATATCTTCCTTCAGGTATTAACCAAATATATGTTTGAATCCCAGTTTCAAAGTTTGAGCCCAAAATTAATTGTTTTGATAACTTCATTAACCACGTGTCATGCATCTCCAGGGAGAAACTTTTCAAATATTATACACTAAATAATGATCTTTTTATTTACTAGTGGACATGGGTCATCATAAATACTTTACAACCACAGAACTTTCAAAATAAGTATGTTAGATCTTGAAAGAATATACAAGGTCACTATGAGAAACTCACTTTGAGTCACCATTATAATAATCAGAGCACATGTTAACCAGGTGTTGTTTTCTCTTATGAAATAGCAACCAACTTTGATGGAGTTCATCCTTTGTGTTACATGTTTTACATGCACAGTTTTAGGCATTCTTCAGAAACAGCCCACTAGAATAAATTTTCATTTTATAAATAAGGTAACTAAAACGCAGAGGTAGTAATTAACTAGCCCAACATTGCATAGAGCTACAAAGAGGAAAAGCTAAAATTCAAAATCATATCCTTCTGACTTCACAGCTGTGCTCTTCCCATGATGACATAGGTAATTTAGTTTGCAAATTTATGACAGTAGATGTGTCTATCTATCTATCTATTTATCTATTATCATTTATCATCATCTGTATATCTATAATCTATCCATCCATGTACCAATTTATCTAACTGTATTTTTCCTAGTAAATTGAATTAGGTACAAAAAAATAAAAGATAGGAAATGGCATCTTGTTCATGATAAGATAAGTTCCAACTTACATATGGAATCCTAGCTTTACGAGTTCGGTTTACAACCTCTTTCAATCCCTCGATGTTATTATAATTCCTGCGACTAAGGTGGAAACCAAGATTCCAGTAGGAAGGCAGGAATGGCCGTCCAATGAGCTAGAAAAATAAAGAAGTGTCCAGGCATTTAGAATAAACACTGTTTGTAGCAACATGTCCAATATAGACAACTTTGTCTCCATTTCATTTTCTGTTAAGTTCTCAGATCTAAAATATCAGAGCCAATTTCTTGTACATATTTTTTTTTTTTTTTTTTTTTTTTTTTTACTAAATTTTTATTTACTGAATGAGTGAACTTTACTGATTTGTAGCCTCAGGTCTTCGGAATGACTGATCATGCATGGTTGGACCATGAGTTCCTTGAAAACAGCACAGCATCTGTTTAAACCTCATTAGGTGACTTATTTTTACATTTCTCAAGCCTTGCACAGTGTCTCTCAGCACACAGAAGGCACTCAATAAATTTGCATCAGAATAAACATATGATGAATGGAAGACTCACAATCCCAACATATATGATCCATAGTTTACCCATAAGTTTTATTTTTCCCAGGCTAATTTACAATGAGTGTATGAGACAGCAGCAATAAAGAATGACTAACTACAAAGCCATACCTCCAGGTATTCCTGAACCACTTGTTCTGGAGTGTCTCCCAGGAACACATAAAAGTCAAAAATGCCCCCGATGGTGCGGTAAGTTACTGCAGGAGCCGGCTGAAGGGTGACCTCTGCAAGAATTAAAATAAGAGTCATTAGAATTTTGTGGTTGAAAATATATATTCTTCTGCATAATTTAAATAGGTGAGCTACCCAAAACAGTCTGTCTCATTTTGAAAGAGAAGAAAATCACACCTGTTCCTTTACATGATTGCTGAAGCTTATCACATATTAAATGAGTACAACACCTTTGAGAAATTAATTGACTTTTTTAGGAGAATGAAACACAAATTCTATTTTAATCTGACCATATAAAAATACAAATGTCTGGGATTTGCTAGTTATTTCATAGAAAATAAGAATATTTAAAACCTTATTAGATCATTTTACCTACAATTAAAAATAAAAGTAAACTCTCATCCAGAAGTTACAGGAGGAAGATTTTGGACTGGGGAAAGGGTGGGCTATGAGAAACAGCTACAGACGGACAGTATGTTTACATGTTGAAACCTACAGGTGTCCTCAGAATGGGTCTAACAGTGAATCCTATCATCTACAAAATATCATGGGAAACATTACACAAAAAGAGACCTCTAAGGCAGTTTTCAATAAAAATAGCTTTCAGCATGAACTGGATTTTTAGACAGGTTAAACTACTTCTGTTCCCAGTTTCAGATGGAGCATAGTAGGTCCAATATGCCTCCTGTTAAACTGTGTTCTACCATGCGTGTCATTTTTATAAAAGCGGCATCCCCAAAAATATTCCTGCCAAGGTAAAGTGATGCTTCCTACCCATAGCATTGCTGTTCAGCAGAAAGACCCCAAAGGAGGAGCCGCTGGTGTCTTCAAGGCACAAGAAGAATGTGTGAGCTCCATACAAGTTAGTCATTTGCTGTCAACAAAAATGAAAAGAAATAATAGTACATATGTAAAATGCTTTTATTCATCCCAAAATATCATCAAAAGCCATTCGCAATATGTATTTGGTCAACACATGTTGTAGTTAGTATTGTGCCCAAAAGGTATTAAAACGGTAACATCAACATGTGTATATGATATATCTACACAATGGGATACTCTATGCAATAAGAAGTGAAGTGCCAGTGCACACTAAAACATGAGTAAGTCTCATCAATGTTATGCGAAGTAAAAGATACAGACACAAATTCAATAGGCCATGATTCCCTTATAAAATGTACAGAGAAGTCAGGCCTCTAGAGACAGAAAGATTAGTGATAGCCTGAGACAGGAGTCAGCACTGGGATGAAAAGAGGAATTAAGTGTAAAAGGTTTTGGAGTGATGAAATGTTCTGAAACTGGATTATGTTAATGACAGCACAACCCAGTAAATGTACTAAAACCATTGCATTGTACACTTAAACCAAGTGGATTTTATGGTCTATAATTATACCTCAACCAATTTATTTATTAAAAATTAGAAAATATTTGTAATGACATAATAAAATGTTAGCAGAAGATGACAGTATTGTGAGAAATTTTTAATGTCTTCTTTATGCATAACGGCATTTTCTGGTCTCTCTACAATTAACATATAATACTTAAGTAGTAATAAATTTAAAATTTAAAAAAAATTAAAACATATTGAACTTGTCACAGGGCTCTGATGAGAGCACTGATATAAAGAGAGACAATGTGAATAATTGTAATGGATGTAAGAATAGAATATATGAGACTGTGACATATGGAAAGCTTTACCGGAACTCCTTATGTGATGGTGCAAAATTAGTCCTTGGCATATAGGGCAATTGTACTGATTACAGTAAATTCCAGGAGAAGAGAACAGAGTCAGCATGATATGTAAAGTAGGGAATACTAGCACACCTATGCAAAATTAGGCCAGATTTAAAGTAATAGCCAGGAAAAGTTACGGCATCAGCCCTTGGTTAGAATACAAACTCAACCTAAAATGCTAAGAAGAGAGAAGGAGAGGCGGAGGAAAGGAAGGAAAGGAGAAAGAAAAGAAGGAAGGGAAGTAAGCATAGACATTAAATTATATATATTTTTAAGGTGAACTGTTTTGAAAAATTGACATGTTAGTACTGTGAGTTTATAAACCTCAAGAACAAGTGCATACTCTCGAACATAAATTGGGCAACATAGTAAAGAGGCAAACTCTGTAGGTTACTTTACAGTTTTCCTCACTCTGTAAGTTCCTTTCTGAAAAGGAGAGAAGGTATCCCTCACTGTGAGAAATCAGGAGAAAGGGCCTCTCACATTGGTGGGGGGAGCATCCCGGGTGAAGATGGGCCAGGTCTTCCAGCCCATGTCGTGCCGGTACTGCTGGTGCACGTGTTCTCCCAGCCCATACACATTGGCGCTGGGCAGCAGGAAGGACAGCTGCAGGTACTGCTCCGCAAACACGAGCGGCCCGATGCTCGTGTCCAACCTGGGCCATTGGAGGAAGAGCGAGAGTCACCAAACCAGCAAGCAGCTCTCTCTGCCAGGAAATGATCTGCTCCCTGCCTTGTACACTTTCAGAACACAGTTGTTTCAGGTCTTCCCATCCACGTTCATGCTTTTGGAGAAGACCTTTCTAGGGTGTCTCTGATTCTTTAATTCCAGAAGAGCACAGCATTGGAGATTTGATACCAAAAACTCAAGTGGGATGATTATGGGATGAGCAAACATGACCTCAGATTTTCTGTGCATCTATTTCATGTATACGCTGCACTGGGTGCTTTATGAACATGGCCTCAGTACATGTAGCAACAGCAGACGTTTTGATTCCCTTTCTATGGACAAGGAAACAGACTGAGCAGGTGAGGTCCTAGGCCTCATATCACATAGCTGACTGGTGACCTACTAGTACTGGGATTTGAACCCAGCTTTTCCTGATGTTAATTTTTGTATGTCCGCCAGTACAATTTATGACTTAAGTTTAGGCTCTCATTAGGGGCTGGATGGTAATTTTCTCAGGAAGTCATAATTTGGAATGCTGAACAGTGAAGGTGAGTTCCATTGTGAATGGTAATTCAAAATAATAAAATTCCCTATTTCATCATATCCATGAATCACAAGAGTATTTATATGGCTCAGCAAACCAGCACGTCACATTTTAGTTTTAGTTTTATTGGTCTGTCGTCATTACATATTCACAGCACTAATGATTTTTACCTGAAAGCTTTGACTTTTTCTGAGATTCAAACATTTTCCCAAATATACTGAGCTGATCACCCACCCACAGGAAGTCAGAGTGAATGACTTTGGAACTGTATATTCAAAGATATGCAAAGAGTGTTGAAACGCTCACAAGACTTTTTTGTTGCTCATCCTCATTATTTTGATGCCAAAGGGTTTCTTTATGAGCTCGACGTGATAGCTCGGGTTGGTGGAACCAGCAGTCCTATTAAACAGCTGAACATGCTCATGGGAGACTTCATAGCGTTTGTTATAGGGATCAGTGATCTGTCAGGAGAAAAACAGAAGGGGCAGCTCAGGAACACAAAACTTCCCTCTATTTAGAGCTACAAAGTATTCTCACTCCCACTTAGCCCCCAAAGAAAATAGCTTCCCATTCTTAACCCTATGCTTCCTGACTTGTAAGAAGAAAACCCCCCAATCATTTGTCCCCCATTAAAAAAAAAAATGAGCCTGCCCATCAGATCTGGAGATTCCCTGCAGAGAGAAACAGAGGTACATCTGCTTCCACACTTTTATGCAGTGCATAAAGGAGAACAAGCTGAACCCTGTGCTCTTCGGAGTTATATTCAACGATAACTACCAAACTGACCTTAAAATGAAGACGCCTGGGTGTCTGATACTCAGCTGTGAAGCAGGCCTGTTCGACATCATTTTCAAACCGATCTGAGGTTTTCAACTTTTTCAACATGGCAGTAAATCCTGCAGTTGGGGTGACAGAAAGAGGAGAGAGGAGAGAAGAGAGAGGAGAGAGAAGAGAGAGAGGAAGAGAGAGAGGTTTACCCTTTATTTTGCAGTTAACCAATCTGGCCATAAAGAGTTGTAGATGTCAGAAGGGAAGGAGGTTGGGGGCCGGGTAGGAAAGGTGAAGGGATTAAACAAAGACAAAAACAAAAACAAAACACAACACACCTCATTGGCATAGACAGTAGTATGATGATTATAAGAGGGAAAGGGGGTGGGAGGAGATAGAAAAGGGTAAAGAGGAGGGGTAAATGGTGACAGAAGGAGACTTGACTTGGGATGGTGAACACACAATACAATATACAGATGATGTATTATAGAATTGTATCCCTGAAACCTATATTATTTTATTAATCAATGTCACCCTAATAAATTCAATAGAAAAATAAATAAAAAGAAGTGCTTTGGATATAAATAACAATAGTATTGAATTATACAACTATAAAAAAGAGCTGCTGGGGAACACAGTGCTCACCTGTGCTTTCTTTTTTATGGTCGTCTTTGACTTCATAGCCCCAGTTCCTGGGGAAGAAGCAGGTGGGGACTCTGATGTCTGACACAGGGTTCCAGCAGCAATTATATTTCCAGCTGCAGATTTCCTGTAACAATGCACAGAGTTAGCATTATATGGAATGAAGGAAGGAAAGTATTATATGTCTGTTTATTTATAACCAGTTTTCCCAAGAATTTAAGATCGCTCATAATTACTTTCAGTCATTTATTTATTCTTTTATTTATACACTTAGCCAGCCATCCAATATGCACTAACTTCCTATCAGACAAAGAACTAAGAATAGAATCGAGATAGACAAGATACAGTGTCTGTCTTGGAATACACAGTTCTTCACAGGGGCTAGCAGGCGTCTTCAAACTACGGCCCGCGGGCCACATGCGGCCCGCAGAGGAGTCTGATCCGGCCCGCCAGGTTTTTTGGGCAGTGAACGCAGCCGAGGTGTTACAGTAGGAATTAGTAGTTCATATAGTCCAGCCCTCCAGCTCTCTGAGGGACTGTGATCTGGCCCCCACTTTAAAAAGTTTAAGGACCCCTGGGCTAAGGGAATCATACCAGGCCTCTTACCCAGCTAAAAGGCTACCTACCAGTGGAGTAGGAGGGCTTCCGGGTAAGTAGAAGGTAAGCTCAGTTCTAATGCACCAGGAGGGGTTAGAGAAGTGAAAAATAGAGCACTATTCTAAGCCAACAAAACAGCCATGCATGACAGACCCAGAGAAGCCACCAGTCCATTGGGCTGAGAACACTGAGTATGAGAAATGAGCCCAGAGGCACACCGCATGCATACAGAGGTGATCTGGATATGGACCAAGTGGATTGGGCTTTCTCAGGAGGAAGAGGCATGGACATGGCTAACAATACGTCAGGAAGCCATGTTTTCTAAAAGGTGAGAAAAGTAAAGCAAAGGAAAATAGACACTTAAGGTAGAACTAGGACAGAGGGTGACATTAAAAATATCACATGTGGCTTCTCAGAGTGGTTTGATTATATATTTTTTAAATTACCTTTGTTTCTTTTCTAAAAGTCCTACAATTTTCAGATGAACTTACTTAAAAATTTGTTTTGTTATAATAAACTAGAGGCCCCTTGAAGGAAGATTCCTGCAATAGGGTTTCCTGCTGTGCTCTCTGTGCCTGCCTGTTTCTCTCCCTCCCCCCCGCCACCCCACTCTGCCTGTTTCCCTTCCTTCTACACCGCCCCGCCTGCTTGCTTCTCCACAGCTTCACTCCCTTCTACAGCACTTGGCTTCTTTCTACCTGTCTTCGCTGTCTTCCTTTGGTCTTTGCTCTGGCCTGGGTATGCAAATTAACCACCATCTTGGTTGGGTTGATTTGCATACTCACCCTGATTAGTTAGTGAGCGTGGCTTATGGGGGTAGCAAAGGTACAGTCAATTTGCATGTTTCTCTTTTATTAGAGAGGATTAAATAGGTGGCAAACTGTTCAAAGTGTTGAACTGAACACAGGCTCTCATCTCTTCACCCAAGTAAACTTACATAAAGTGATAGAAATATTATTAAGGAAAAAAAATACAAATTCACTATAAAACAGCAAAATATACAATATGGCAGACCTGATGTTATGAAATTCATGAAATATAGAAAATAGATGTTATCAACTCTGGTAGAAACTATATTCATAGTCTAAAACACAAGTAGAGAAAAAGAAGTGCTCTAAGCCAAGTCAGTATAGAGATTAAAAATGAAATGAGCCAGGCCTGGTGTGGCTCAGTGGTTGAGCATCAACCTATGAACCAGGAGGTCATGGTTCAATTTCTGGTTTGGGCACATGCCCTGGTTGCAGGATAGATTCCCCAGTAGGGGGCATGCAGGAAGCAGCAGATAGATAATTTAATTCTCTCTCATCATTGATGTTTCTCTCTTTCCCTCTTTGAAATCAATAAAATATATTAAAAATAAATAAATACATAAATAAATATGAAATGAGTGCCTGCTCTGTTCAGGTATTTATATAAGTACTAGAGGCCCAGTGCACAAGATTTGTGTATGGGGGTTGTATGTACCTCAGCCCAGCCTCCACCCTCTCTAATCTGGGACCCCTCAATAGATGTTCGACATGCCTCTCACAATCCAGGACTGCTGGCTCCCAACTACTCACCTGCCTGCTTTGCTGATTGCCCCTAACCACTTCTGCATACTATCCTGATCACCTCCTAACCACTCCCCTGAGCAGTGAGGCATCAAAGCAGTTAGCATTGATGCCTAACTGCTCCCCTGCCAGCCTGTTTGACCTAACTGCCCTCCCCTGCAGGCATGGTCACCCCTAACTGTCCTCCCTTGCATGCCTGGTCACCCTCCAACTTCCCTCCTCTGAAGGCATGGTCACCCCCAACTGCCCTCCTCTGCAGGCATGGTCACCCCCAACTGCCCTCCGTTGCAGGCCTGTCCCTTCCAACTGCCCTTTCCTGCTGGCCATCTTGCATTGGCCATCTTATGTCCACATTGGGGCAGCTATCTTTGACCACATGGGGGCAGCCATCTTGTGTGTTGGAATGATAGTCAATTTGCATATTACTCTTTTATTAGATAGGTCATATGACACAGTGCTGTCAGCAAGCATAGTAAATGAGACAGATACCACCATTAATTAAATAGACTTATTTCCACTACTGATTTGAAATGCCATTTTTATAATAAACTAAGTTTAATTGAACATATATGAGAATATGAATATATATTTTGAGATGTTTTATTATGTTCCAGTGGCATATGTATCAATTCCTGCAATGATTCCACACTGATAATTACTATAGTGTCAGGATATGTTTTGCTTTTAGTTTAGCAGATCAATAAATATAAAGGAGACTCCTTGAAAAGATCAAAGAAATACAATTATTTCTGCCAAGACCGGGTTGGCTCAATGGACAGAGCGTCGGCTTGGGGACTGAAGGGTCCCGGGTTCGATTCCGGTCAAGGGCATGTACCTTGGTTGCGGGCATATCCTCAATAGAGGGTGTGCAAGAGGCAGCTGATTGATGACTCTCTCTCTCATCGATGTTTCTAACTCTCTATCTCTCTCCCTTCCTCTCTGTACAAAATCAATAAAATATATTTTAAAAAAAAAGAAATACAATTATTTCTCATCAAATTCTCCTTTAACAAAAAGAGAGGGACACAAACATGATTAAAAACAAAAATGGGAATGACAACAGATACCTATGGCTTTTTAACACAAATAAAAGAATTATGAGACAACTATTTTTTTTGTATATATATATATATATATATATATATATATATATATGCCAATAAATGTGAAACTGTAATTTGAATCTTTAAATAGTATAATATTAATGAAAACTAGGTGGGAATAAATAGAAAACCTTAAAAGGACCAGTAGCCATGGGAAACTATAAATAGTCAAAGATCCCTACCCCAAAAAAAATGACATCTTGCCCAGATAATTTGGGAAATAGACTATTCTCATATTCTATATCAATATATTTTTAGAACATAGGAAAAGGTGGAAACTTTCCTGACTCATTTTATTAAACTAGAATAATTTTGACTACAAACTAGCAAGAAAAGTCCAAATAAATAATTAACCAAAAATATATACTAAGCTTATTTCACTTAAAAACATGATGTATAAAATTTTAATTAGATGTTATATTTTAATTTATTAGTGCAGTAAAATTTAATACATACTGGCCAAGTAAGGGTTATCAAGAGAAAGCTGGAATGGTTCAAAATTAATTAAGCAACACTGACAAAATAAAAAATCATATGGCCATCTCAACAGATGCAAACTATTTTTTAAATAGAGTAATGTGATACATTTAAATAACCTAAAATTAAAGAGCAAATTATGTAACATACACAGTATAATTAAATCTGTGTTAAAACAAAACAAAAAAATACATAAATATATGTGCAAAATATATAAATATATTCAAAAGCATAGAAAGACCAAGGGAAAAATACACACCAAGCTATTAATTGATTCTAGGGAAGGCATTTGGAGGTAGAGAGGAAGCTTAATGAATGAGTAAGACTTTCCCATTTTATTCTGTACACCACTATAATATCTGAATATTTCTTATTAAAAGAATGTATTTATAGATTTTGTTATTTAAAAATACCAAAAGAATATATCATAACATTACTCATTTGGAAAAGGAATATACTGACAAGTACTTTAGATGCTGACATCTGATATAATTGCTCTAAAAACCACAAGAATATATCTTCCATCAATGTTCACATGCTTATTATAAACAAAGTAAGCTCAGTCCTAATGCACCAGGAGGGGTTAGAGAGGTGAAAAATAGAGCAGTATTCTATTTTATAACTAGGAAAATTTCTTTAATGTATTAATTTATTCCTCCTACATGTAAATTATGTTCCTGATCCATCCTCTTCAGATAACAAAAGTCTGGGGGAGGGGGGGGGTCAGTGGTAAAAGAGTTTGGGGGTGCTGGATAACCACGAGATAACTGATTTTCCTAAGTTTGAAGCAGACATTAAGTACTTCTGCTGCCTCTGAAACTGAGGTCTATAAGGTCCAGAAGGTTAGTTTCATTGCCATAAATTGTTCCAAAGTCCACTGAATTCTATAAAGATCAATAAGACAAGAAATCTACTACATTTAGGTAAACAAAATTTTTTGTGCATGCAGTCTGCCCTAACATCCTTATTTCAGTTTTAAGCCATTATCAGTACCACAGAAACCAAAGGTCAGATGTTTAAGAGATATACAGGTGGAACAAAGGTAGATTTACAGTTGTAGATACAGGAAACAAAGCTTATTTGTATTATTATTATTTTCTAACTATTGTTATTTTCCATAAGAATATATATGTTCTTATGGAAATATATAAAAATATAAATATTTCCATATATATATATATATATATATATATATATATTTAATTTCAGAGACAAAGTGAGAGGAAGAGATAGAAACACCAATGATGATAGAGAGCTATTGATTGGCTGCCTCCTGTGGGTCCCCTACTGGGGATCGAGCCTGCAACCCCAGGTATGTGCCCTGACCAGGAATCGAACTATGACCTCCTGGTTCATAGGTCTATGCTCAACCACTGAGACACACAGCTGGTTGTCTCATTTTCAATATCATTACAATAACAGATTAGTAGCACTTAGAAAATATAATGGATTGTATTTACAACAGAAACTATGCATATGAAAAATCTAGGAAAAAAAACCTTCCTAATGCATATGTAATACAATACATATGAAGAAAAACAAGAGTTAAAATGGAAATACTTTTATGTTTTTAAAATGGGATGATTCAAAACTGTTGAAATGTCAATATTGCCTAATTTTAACCTAAAACTCAAATGTAGTACTTATTAACATCCCGCTAGAATATTATGGGATATAGTATATAAAATATGAAGTAAAGCAATAAAACCTAAGTGTATACAACCTTTATTTTATAGTTTTTAATCAAAACTAGCAGGGTTCAAATAGTTTAAATTCTCAGAGAGAAAATCTAGGTTCTTTAGCACAAGTTCATCAGGATCTCTTGCCAATAATATGATTCCAGAAGACTTTTGTTATAATAAGTCACCTGAATTAACCAAGTGACTCAGTCAACCATATGTGCTTGATGGGTTCTGTTCTCAAGGGGTACATGGCCTAACCCTAAAAATATCTTTCTGTGGCTACCCTAGGACTAACCCTCCACTAGGAACTTTCCCTCCACTCTGGATTTCAAACCCTATGGGCCAACACTCTTATTATTTCCTACTCCTCTTATCTTTACACTATTCTATTCCCTCACTTCTTTAGTGCTGTTTGTTTCAATAAGACAAGAAAGAAATAGTAACTCCAAACAAATAGAGTTCCATAACTTCCACCACCACCCTCTCCCCACTTCACACACTCATTTCTTTTAACTAAAACCCAGTAAGTCAATGGAAGGTCATCCATTTCTCTGACCTCTGTCACCCCGATGCCAGGCGTACAGTCTATCCTTTGTGATTCAGGGATTGCATCGCACTGTGGAGTAAATGGAGTATCTGCATAAAAATTAAAGAACAAAGTTAAAAACCTGCATGTAGCATAATCCCAGTCGGGGAATGAAGCAGTCAATGTCAGATTTTCAGCCAATTCTCCAGTCAACACTAATAGCTGCAATCTACATTTGTATACATTTTCGAAGTGTTAAAAACATTTGCTTTTAAAATATATTAACAGAATGAACTTATACAGACTTTTTAATTTAAAAATGCAAAAAATATATTTTTATATTTATTCTATATTTATTTATACTCATTTATCCTCCACACATATAAATTATGTTTCTGCCCCATTCTCATTTGGAAAAGGTATAGTATTGACAAGTATTTTGTTATTCTCATAGAAACTACTCAGAGAAAATCTTGGTTCTTTAGCACAAGTTCATCAGGATCATTTGCTTTCTGTTTGGTTGGTTTTTATTGAGATGCAATTCACAGGCCATAAAATTCACCTTTTTAAAGTTTACAACTCAATGTTGATTTTGGTATTTTATAAAATTGTGCAACGAATCACTACCATCCAATTCCTGACAACCACACTAAAACAAACTAAAAGATTCTGCATACAAAACAGCAACAACAAAAACCCAATTAATGGAGTGAAAAGGCAGTGTAAGGAATGGGAGAAAATATTTGCAAACCATGTATCCAAAAAGGGGCAATTTCTAAAATATATAAGGAACTCCTACAACTCAATAGCAAAAACAAAACAAATAAACAAACATAAATTAATAACCTGCTTTAAAACTGGGTTAAGGACTTGAACTGACATTTTATCAAAGAAGACATGCAAATGTCCAACAGGTATATGAAAAGATACTTAATGTCGCTAATCATTAGGGGAATTCAAATCAAAGCCACAATGAGAAAACAGCTCAGCTGTAAGAATGGCTATTACAAAGAAAACAAGAATGGGTGAGGATGTGGAGAAACTGGAACCCATGAATACTACTAGTGGGAATGCTGCAAATTGGTGCAGCCACTATGGAAAACATTATAGAGGTTCCTAAAAATTTTAAAAATAGAACTACCATACAATCCAGCAAGCCTACTTTTTTGGTATTTATTCAAAAGAATTGAAGTCAGAATTCCAAATACATAATAGCATCCCCATGTCATTACAGCACTATTCACAACAGCCAAGATGTAAACCCAACACAAATGTCCATTGATGGATGAATGGGTAAGAAAGTATGCTAATATACATGGAATATTATTATTACATGAAATGGAATACTATCCAGCCTTAAAAAAGAAAAAGAATCTCATCATTTGCAACAATTTAGATGAAGCTTAAAAATGTTATGCTAAGTGAAATAAGCCAGGCACAGAGGACCAATAGTGTATGACTCTACCTATGTGATATATCAAAAACAGTCAAAAGTCACTAAAGCAAAGAACAGAATGATAGTTGCCATGGGCTAGGGGGAGGGGACAATAGAGTGTTGCTAAATAATGTATAAAATTTCAGTTATGCAAGATGAATAAATTCTACAGATATAATGTACAAAACTGTACCTATAGATAACAATGCTGTATTATACATTGAAAAACCTGTTAAGAGGGTAAATTTCACTTTAAGTGTTCTTACCACATTAAAAAAAATGAAATGAAATCTTTTCAATTCGTGGAAACTTCTTGGAAAAACACCTCAGGGCAAGTCCACTATGTAAAACATTTAAAATTTGAAGCATTCTGCATGAATTAGAATGTTGTTTAGAATAAATGCAGGTTCAAAGATCTAATTTTATGTTAAATAAAAGAAACTACTTATTCATATACACTGGACAGTATTCTTACAGGACTTGTGACCCAAAAAATATTTATAGGGTAAAAGCAGTAATAGGTCAAAGACAGTTTTTATCAATGGTTTTCAAATCATCTTTCAAAGTCATAATTGTTTCTAGAAAGTGTCAATTTACTGTGGAGAGTGGTGAAGAGATTGGATGCTTCTGTGTGAGAGCGAAAACAGTTTCAAAAACATCTATGAAGAAACCATAGCTATTCCAGTCAGAATATGGGCTGGAGGCTAATTGTAATTGATATATGTAAGCCAAGTGTATCAGCCCTCCCCTTCCCTGTAACCTAATGTCCTTTGCTGTAATCATGTAATGGAATTGGGCACGGGTACCTCAACTGTTCTTCCTTGAAGGTTCTATTACCTCATGACTTTAGGTTGAAAAACAAGCCTTTGATGGGCCTCATTGTGCATCTTGTTAAATCTGTTTCAAATGATACTTGTGAGACCCTGAATATCATGAGCAATCAAGGTTTAGTTGCAGAAAAAGAACACAGCTTTTGGAGAGTGACTTAAATTAGCTATGGATGTGAGTTATAAATGATGCAGTCTGGTGGCATGCTGAGGAGTAAAGGAATAAGATGATTTTTTTTTTGGCATCCTGAAGGGACTTCCTTCCAACTCAGCAGCATGAGTATCTTGCTTACCTGGAGAATTCTTATTCAGCAGCAGTAACACCAATAAGATATCTGCGGCAAATACAATTAGGAAGCAGATGAACAGAAAGACTTCCAACACACTGAGCTTCCTCGCCATCTAGATGGACACAGATAATGGGATTAAAGCAAACAGTAAAGTCACATTAATCCAAAAGAATAGATAGGCATTATGATTAGAACAGGAATTCTTTTATAAAATGACTAGATTTTTGGCATTTCTCTTTAAATGATCTAGAGAATATATTTTTTCAATCATCACAGTGTCTCCATCTAAGTCTAATCTATGCATCTAACACTACTACGGCTCTTGCCCTTTTTGTCTGCAGAGGAATTGGGTATTGCCCAAGAAAAAAAAAATACATCAGACAGGAAGAATGAGAGGGAGAGAGGAAGAAGAGGAATGAAGTCCAGGAGAAAGATAGATGAGGGGTTGATATGGTTCAGAAAAGCCCTTTCAGATGTCACTTTGATCTCCACAACCACCCTGGGCAGTAGAGAGGAGAGTACAGTCAGGGACAAAAATAGCAGCAAAACCTGAATCCAATTCTTCTTTTAATAATTCCCATGCCATGATGTTGAGGTGTTGATCTGTTTAAAGGCCACTAATCCTTTTTTATAATCTGGTAACAAAAACCCACCTAATCTTGATCACCAATATAATGCTTGCTTATATGTTTACAACATATACCCATATAAATTTGGTGGTTCACAGAAGCCCTGGAGACCATGCATAGGTTCAAGTTTTTAAGTATTTGTTGTATTGGAGGGAAATCAAAGGGCTTCAATTCTTGGCCTATTTTTTTTTTTTTTTTTTTTTTTTTTTTTTTTTTTTTTTTTTTTTACTAACAGATGGATATTTTAGCTATTTGGATATGTGTGTCTTTATCTGCAAAATGTGCTCAGATTCAGGAGGTATTCCCATTCTTGTATGCTAATTATATCAAATGATACATTTTAACTTCAGCGGCTCACATCATCACTCTATTGCCATCAATCCAAACGTTGGCTATGTCCTGGAATTTATCATCCTCCAGTTCCACTTTGAACTCTTAACCTCTGCTTCCTATTTACTGGTCAGAAGCTCATATCCTTTTACTCTCATTGCATTGTTACCCTATCCTTTGACCATATTGAGGCTTCTATTCTCTTTCATTTCTTTTTAGTCTCTTAGCCCTTACTGGTTTTTCTCCCCAAGTGATGTAGGCCTCAATATCTATTGCTCTTATCTTCCTTGCTACCTTGTCTGCTACCTAAATCTATCCAATGAAACTATCCATCCAAATATCTGTCCTTGGTTCATGCACTTAGCCCTGTGTAAATGCCACTGGGTTCATACTCTACCAAATATTCTGGCATGCTAGTTGACATTCTTGCCTCTCATTTTTCACAGCATAAATTTCTAACATGTTTTTCTTTTCAAGCCCCAACCTCTGTCACCTGCACTCGCACCTTCAGCCAATATCATCTTCAACATCACAAACAGAATCTATTTTGCAGAAATGATTGCATCTCCCTGCTTCCCAACTAGTGTTTTTCTATAAAAATTTTTTACATCTAGATAAATTATCATACTTTCCTTCTCAGTGCAAAAGTTTTCCCTCCTCTTGTCTAAGCATGATCCTTGTTACTATTCTTTAGTACTCATAGCCTTTGAATTTCTCAAAAATCAGGTTCAATAATATTGTGATACGTTTACCTGGTGACAGATGATTACTAGAATTAGTGGGGGTGATTACATTTAAGGTATAAAAATGTTGAATTTCTATATTGTACATCTGAAACAAATATAACCAACATAAAATTATATGCCAAATACTTAAATAAAAATAAATATAAAATATAAAATTATTAGCATTAAAAAATCTTGGTCCAATTACCCTTCCTCTTTCTTGAGTTACCAAACTCTCCCTCTGAAGTCACTCTTTCCTCTCATAAATATATCACCCAAAACCACCCTAAACTCTTGATGACTCAGTGTTCTGCTCTAGGTTCCCTAACTTCCTTTCTCCTATTATAGCTATCTTTCCAAAAAGATAATTCCACCCTGTCTGCGTTAGCTTCCTCATGTTACTGGCGTAGCTTTTGTTTCTTGCATTTCACTGAAACTGCTCTTGCCAAAGTCACCAATGATTTAGCCTCGGAATACAATGGGCACTGTCTAAGTCATCTAGCATATCGACCACACCCTCCTCTTGCAAATTTTCCACCTTTGGATTACTCAATATCATTCTATCTCCGTGGTTTTCACCTACTTTTCTGGTTCCTCATAACTGTTGATATTCCCTGTGTTACTTTCATAACAATCCTAACTCTCTTGAGCAATCTTCACCACTCATATGACTTCACAAAGGTCAATCCAACCTGAGTTTCTAGCTCAGAAATTTAGATTCATATAGGCGATTGCTTATTGGATATCTCACTTGGATGTCCCACAGACTTAACCAAATTCAACAGATTTTAAACATGAAATCATCTCTCCCAACAATATAATGATCCCAACTTCTACTAATCCTGCCAAATTGGCTGCTTCTCAAATAACTCATATCTTGAGGAACAGAAAAAAATCACAATTTCTTTAAAAACCTGGGTAGCTTTTTTGCCTCCTCTCTATCAGTTCTCACAACCAGTTACCAGCTAGGTCAGACTAATTTTATTTTCCAATACCTGTCAACTCTGTTCCTTTCTCTCCACCTGTTCTGGAAGTGCTGTAGCCAGGCCATCATTTCTGACCTGAACTGTGACCCCTGCTTCGCCACCACTTCCTGTTTCTACTCGTTCTGCTCCCTGTATCCATTCAGCACACTGATCTTCCTGCAGCACAAACTAGGCCATTGGGTTCTCCTGTGTTCAAGTCTTCAAAGGTTCTCCAGATAAAATAGAAAGTCTGTGGTTTGTAATCAAAGGTCATCATGATATCTCCCAGGCCCAGCTGTCCAACCTCATCTCTTTCCTATGTTCCAGCCATACATACTGGCATTTATGTAGTGACAGTCTATAAATCCATGTAGACAAAAAAGTCTCTCTCTCTCTCTCTCTCTCTCTCTCTCTCTCTCTCTCTCTCTCTCCCTCTCTCTCTCTCTTTCTCTCTCATTTCATCTTTCCTTTAAATTTTTTAAATCTCCATTTCTCTGCACCCCTGCTTATCTCAAACCCAGACCAATGACATGACATTTCTATAAGTATAGCTTCCACTTTTTAATTAAGTCAGCCTTTAAATTAATGTGTACTAAGCCAAGAAAAGAAGCACCTTAGTTGCAAAATGGGGGTGAGAAGCAAGGATATATAAATTATTTGCCAAGATGTTAGGATGGGTGAGTGGGTGAGGTTAGATTTGAGATTTGGGATTGAAGTTGGAGTATATTAACTGTTCCTTTCTATTAGCCTAAATCTATCAATGAGGTGTCTCTCCTCTAGTCAAAATTATTCAAAGGTTTACTCTAATGCCCATAATACATATTTCATATTATTATATTCCCATAAAATTCCTATATCAAAATTGATCAGGCAGGTGTGAAAGTTGACATGAGTGGTACCATTTTAAAATGGAGCCAGAAAAGCCATTCTAGAGGAACTGCCTTACATCTTGCCCTTACACCTTTGAAATATTTGAACTGGACAGAATAATCTTTGGGCTGAGTCGTAGCCACATTGTTTTGCAAACAACTGTAAGCTAGCAGGAGAGCAGACACCCTAACCACAAGGACTTACATACTTTAGAATTAGTAATCTGCATGTATAGCTAAAAACTAACTCATTTGCTAACAATAGAAAGTTCTTTCCTTGTTTCATATAAAAATAGCCCCTCCTTTTCCCATAAAACCCTCCTGCAATTGGGACACAATTTGGGCTTCTGCCTGAACCTATGCTCCCCAATTGCAATTCTGTGATCTCCAAGAAATGCTTGTTGCTTCTCATTTTGGTTTTTTTATTTTTAGGATAAGGCAGGCATCAAGATTCCCATCTTATAAATAAATGCTCAGTTAGTAGTAGAACTGAGGCAAAAACAAACTAGCCCTGCTTTAAAAAAAAAAAAAAAAGTTTATTTTGTTTTGTTGCATTGTTTACATTATTACAGATATCTCCTATTTCCCCTCACTTCCCCCTCCCACCCCATCCCAAGCCTTCACCACTCTATTGTCTGTGTCCCTGGGCTAAGCATATATGCATACAATTTCTTTGGTTCATCTCTTCCCACTCCCCTCCCCCAACCTTCCTCCCCTCTGAGATCTGTCAGTCTGCTCCATGCACCCATATCTCTGGATCTATTTTGTTAGTCAATTGATTGTGTGTTTTTTTGTTTTTGGTTTTTTTTTTTCATTAGATCCCTGCTTATTAAATTTGAAGACTATCTCCGTTCAGTTACCTAGACTGCAGAGCTTAAAGATCTAGAGGCTGAATCGCTAAAGGTGGAATTTCAAATTGTGAAAGAAGTCTCAGAGACCAACCCCACATACTCTCAATATCCAGTTTAGTTTCTTATGCTTAGAACCCATGACTCATCAACACAGCCAACATATTGTCTGTCTGTTAGACTCCCATGGGGAGACTTTCCTTTGTAGCCTCAACAAACCACAAGCAAGGCACCTCTTCCACAGCTCTTTAATACTCCTGGGGGAGCAGGTTCAGCACCTGAAGCTCAAGACCCTGGGACAATCCCTGGCATTTTCCTACCATAGGAACTGTTATCATCCAGAGAGAAGATAGGAGTAAAGATTCCTAAAGGTAGAAACTCTTTCTTACTTAGAAACCCTCCTTGCCCAAAGCCATTTTTCAGTATCAAACAAAATTTTAGAATTAATTTAAACCCAGGTTATTACTAAAAACCTTAATAATTGTGTAGCCACTTCCTTCTCTGCCTCAAAAAATACTTTCACATAACTCAGTCTAGGCCACTGTCAGCTAGCTTTCCTCATAGTGTATGTGAAAACATCAGGCACAGAAAAAAAGCATGGGCTGTCCAGATCACTCAGCAGAGAAGGAAACAGGGACATTTACAAGAACAAAGGGACAAGACTTGTTCAAAGCACCTCCTGCATGGGAAAAAGTACTCACCTCATAGCCGTATCTTATTTGCTGTGTCTATCCCTCAGTGGTTCTTAAGGAGCACTGGACAAAGGTGACTGCACTGGCATAGCCATCTTCTGCCAGGATTGATTTATTGCCCTGTAAAGCTGGTGGCAATTGGAGGAGAGGACTGGATTTTCCTATAGACCATAAAAGGCCCTAGTTTCCCTGTGATATGGAGGAACCTTCATTTGTTAATGAAAGGGGAAGGTGGAGTTTTCATCTATTAGTTCAGCCTCTTCTGTGTTTCTGTTTCGTATCCAATAACTTTGCTTGTCACACAACATTATTCTTGCTTGCCTGACCATGAGCCTAAAGAGCCCAGGAACTAAGGTCTTACCAGCCTTCTTTACTCTTGTATCTCCTACGTGAAGCCCTTGGCCCAATACCCATACATATTTTTAAATAAATAGATACTTGTTGAATAAGTTAAGTGAAAGAGTGAATAGCTCTTGGTTTATCATATCGTTACCTTCTCCATTTTTGTCTCCCAAAGTTCTCATTAATTTAAACAAGCAGCCTTCTCACCAATTATTCTAAATAAGTGAAGCACCATTAAAATAGAAATTATGTCACTTTAAAATGGGAAGACAACTCTACTGGAAATTTGTCATACTCTTTGACTGATCAGCACCTTTGAAAAAGCCTCTAATACTTAAGGAACTTGTCACTTTGGGAGTTCTGCTTCCCCAGGGAAGGGGCTAGAAATTCTCTTTCACAGGTTCCCTTTCAGACAAAGTGTGCTCAATTGATGAGATGTTCCTGTGACCCAGAGAAAGTGGAGAATGAAGGAGGTATGATGAGAATCCAGGATGGTGACGAGATATCGTTTCAGAGGCAACATGGACTGAGGACCTATTGCACCCCACATTCAGTGCTGGGGGGAGGGTGCAAGCTGCCACACATGTGCTAAGGACAATGGCAGCGGCAGCTGCCTCATGGTAATTGGGCTATTGTCCCCAGCCATAGTCTACAAACCTGACACTACTCCCCCTGGAGTTTTAGTGAGTCACCAACATTTTAAAAATTTACTTACTTCTTAGGTTAGCTGAGGAAAAAGTGTTGTTTAAAAAAACAAAAACAAAACAAACAAAAAAAAACTTGAGATATAATTTACATACCATGACATTCAATTTAACCTTTTAAAATGTACAAGTCAAATATTAAAAAATTTCAGTATATTCAAAAAATTTAGTATATTCAAAAAGTTGTCCAACCATCATCACCATCTAATTCCAGAACATTTTTATCATCTTGCAAAGTAAACATGTATTCATTAGTGGTTACTTCCCATTCCCTCTCTCCCACCCCTGCAACCACTAATCTATTGTTTGACTTTATGGATTTGTTTATTCTGAACATTTCATATAATTAGAATCATATAATGTGTGGCCATTTGTGCCTGGCTTCTTTCACGTGGTATAATGTTTTCAAAGTTCATCCATGTTGTTGCAGGTATCAGGCATCTGCAGGTATCAATACTTTATTTCTTTTTATGGATGGATGACATTCATTATATTAATATATCCCCTTTGTGTTTATCCACTCATTGGTTGATGTACATTTGGGTTGTTCATATTTTTTGTCTATAATGAGCAATCTTGTCATAAACATTCATGTACCTTTTTTGTGTAAACATATATTTTCAGTTCTCTTGAGGATATACCTAGAAGTGGAATTACTGGGTCCCATGGTAACTTTATCTTTGACATTTTGAAGAACTGGAGAACTGTTTTTCCATATGGTGGCAACAGTTTACATTCCCACCAATAATATATGAGGTCATTATCTCTATATATGTATAATAGAGAAATATGCTAATTAACCAGGACGTCATAACAGGTCAATCAGACAAGAGGAGGTTGCGTGTACAGCATTGGGGGTGGGGTGGCAGGGGCCTCCACCCACCTGTGCTGGGGGAGGGCCTGATCAGCAGTGGCCATGGCTGCTTTAAAGGCTGGATAGGGAGGCGGGGCCAGACCAGCAACAACCACAGCCACAGTGGGTCCAAGGAGCAAGGGAGGGCCGGAGCAGTGACTTGAGGGTGGGCAGTGCCACTTGATTCCAAATCATGCACTGGGATTCTAGTAGTATATATAAGATATTGCATATTTTATATATGCAGGCATGCCAACTTCTAATGGCATCTTCTGATGGCATCTAAGTAAATATAGTCCATATTTACTTCAAATGTTCAGTGTGTGGCAAGTATAGACACAAAGACATGTTCACACACAAACTTGGTTCCTGCCTTTATGGACTCCTCACCTTATCTTTGTGCCAGGACAAGAGAGCCTTTGTTAGAGGGAAAAATGCACTTGGATCTCATTTCAAAGTGGGTGATATCAAGGAGACTTATTAGTACATAAAATCTTTCTTTCTTTTTAAGAATTCTTCTAGGTTTTTTATTTTTATTTTATTTTATTTTATTTTATTTAAATAAATCTTTATTGTTCAGATTATTACAATTGTTTCTCCTTTTTTCCCCTCCATAGCTCCCCTCCACCTGGTCCCCACCCCACCCTCTACCCTTACCTCCTCTCCCCGCTTCCCTCCTCCGCTGTCCTCATCCATAGGTATATGATTTTTGTCCAGTCTCTTCACGTACCCCCCCCCCCCCACAGACCCCTCTTTCCCCCTGAGAATTATCAATCCCCTCCCATTCTATGCCCCTGGTTCTATTATATTCACCAGTTTATTCTGTTCCTCAGCTTTTTAATTCACTTGATTTTTAGATTCACTTGTTGATATATATGCATTTATTGTTCATAATTTTTATCTTTACTTTTTTCTTCTTCCTCTTTTTAAAGAACACTTTTTAGCATTTCATATAATACTGGTTTGGTGGTGATGAACTCCTTTAGCTTTTTCTTATCTGTGAAGCTGTTTATCTGCCCTTCAATTTTGAATGATAACTTTGCTGGGTAGAGTAATCTTGGTTGTAGGTTCTTGCTATTCATCACTTTGAATATTTCTTGCCACTCCCATCTGGCCTGGATAGTTTCTGTTGAGAAATCAGCTGATAATCGTATGGGTGCTCCCTTGTATGTAACTAACTGTTTTTCTCTTGCCGCTTATAAGATTCTCTCTTTGTCTTTTGCTCTTGGCATTTTAATTATGATGTGTCTTGGTGTGATCTTCTTTGGATTCCTTTTGTTTGGGGTTCCGTGCGCTTCCTAGACTTGTCTGTCTATTTCTTTCACCAGGTGGGGGAAGTTTTCTGTCATTATTTCTTTAAATAGGTTTTCAGTGTCTTGCTCTCTCTCTTCTTCTGGCACCCCCATAATTCTGATGTTGGTATGCTTGAAGTTGTCCCAGAAGCTTCTTACACTATCTTCAACTTTCTGGATTCTCTTCTCTTCTTGTTTCTCTGGAAGAGTGTCTTTTGCCTCTTTGTATTTTAAATCTTTGATTTGATTCTTTCATTCTTCTAGTCTGCTGTTGAGTCTCTGTATAATATTTTTTTTTATTTCAGTCAGTGTATGTTTAAGTTCTAGTTGGTCCTTTTTCATATTCTTGAGGGTCTTGTTAAATTTATCGGCCTTTTTTAGGAAATTCTTGAAAAACCTTATAACCATGGTTTTGAACTCTATATCCAGTGTTTTGTTCTCCTCCATTTTTTTTGAGATCTCTTTCCCTTTCTCGGCATTTTCGCTGCTTCCCTGAGTTGGTAGAGTAGCTTTGTGGGCCTAGGTGTCCTATATGGTTCAATGGGTCAGTCTCCCAGTTGCCTGATGTGGACACTCTTGGTGCACCCCTTTGTAAACTGTGTGTACACCCTTGTTGTAGTTAAGTCTTGATTGTTCTTGATGTCACTGGGAGGAATTGACCTCCAGGCCAATTGGCTGTGAGGACCTGCTGTGTCTATAACAGAAGAATTGCTGTGCTGGAGACACGTTTATGGGGGAGGACTTGTTCCTATAGGGCTTTGGTGCTCACTGAGTCTGTCTCTTGAATGTGTCCCTTATGAGAGTAGTTAAAATCTGGTGTCATCTCACACCGACCACTAGATACACTAGTTTCTGGATCTCCAATAGGGTGTAGTTCAGCTACAGTCTGAGGCCATCCAACAGGAGCTACTGCAAGAACTACAGTTTTCTCCTCCTTGCTTGGATTTGGCAGTTTTGGAGCTGGAGCTACAGTTTATTTTGTTAAGCTGCCGTAATACAGGCCATTTATATGCAAAAGAAGCTGTGTGGAGCCTGGGTGGGTTTGTAGAATGTGCAGGGCGGAGCCTCAGGATGAGGTGGAGTCTCAGGATGTCACTAGGCTGGGCATGGCAAACAGTGATGGCTGCCATCAGCTGTCTCTGCCTTTCTGCATTTCCAAGTCCCCACATCCCCCTCGCTCCATCACAGTAAACAATGATTGCTGTGCATACCTCTGCAAAAAAGTCACCCTCACTTTTGGACTCGATGGCCAACAGACCAGCTTCTCTCCGTGGGCATCTGCATCCCTCACATGACCCCAAAAACTGGATTTCAAAGTGAGAGGGAGCTTGTTTCCCTTCGGGCTGAAAAAAAGCCTTGCGCCCAGTCGCCCGCCACCAGCCTGATTCACATGCCTCCGTACCTAGGCTTTTTAGCTTTTCAGCACTTGTGTCCTTTCTCTTTTAGCCAGCTTTCCCGTGGTTATGATTGACAGACGTTTTGTCTTTTAGATGTAGTTTTGAAATTGTGCGAGGTGACAGATTATTTGTTTACTTATGCTGCCATCGTGTTTTTCTCTAGTACATAAAATCTTTCTTCTCTTTGTGTGATACTTTACTCTTAATTCCCTACATTCCATGCTCATTTGTGGTAATGTTCACATTACAATGCTCACTGACAAACCCAGATATAACCTGCTTTTTAAAGAACAGAAAATAGCTAACTTTGCCATCCCTTCTTGCTAAGTGGCAACTAGAAGATATTGAGTCAGATGCTTGTGTTGACCAAAGAAAATGTAACAGAAATATTTTGGAGGTAAGAGACAAGAAAAGAAACAGCCTAACTTTATATCTTAAGAAACTAGGGGGGGGAAAAAGTGAGTAGAAGGAAGGAAGTAACAAAGATTCAAACAGAAGTAAATAAAATAGAGACTATAAAGACAATA